ACTCTTTCCTGCGTATGCAGGGGGTCAGACTCGATGATCTATTGAGGTCCCTTCTGGCCCTAACATCTATGAATCTGTGAATAAGAGCTTGGAAGACTACTTTGCACAACTGATATATATGAAAAGTATATAGCCAAGGCAAAATGCAGCAGCAACACAAGAATTGGGGTAGGGGGCACTGTTTCATTTGCTTACTTGCTGGAGGAATGATTGGTTGAGGGGCAACAAGGTAGAAATAAACCCACTTTCTCTTTCACTCTGGTATGTAGGATCTGTGATTTGGAAGTGAGGGAAGTGGGCATCAGTTTGGGGAATCCATTGTAGACATGTCTGTGGGAGTGTGGAGCAGCAGAGGGGAAATGAAGGGCACTCATTTTATAAGACAGGAGTTGCGGAAATAAAAAGAGGTTGGTGAAGTGATAAGAGAGCTCATGAAGATACAAACAATGACAATTCCTTCAACTCCTACCATAACTGGAGTAAAAAAAGAGAGAAACTGTAGCTCCATACTCACCTCTGTCACACATCAGTTCTATGGGTGAACTCTCCCTGGATTTGTTTCCCTTGAGAATCTGACAGATAATTTTTCCGTTCACATGCTGTTCCAAAACAACCCTCTTGCCACCATCCTTAATGCAAGTCTCAGTTGGAGGCTGAACTGTGTCCAACGTCCACTTAAATTCTTCACTGGAATGGCTATCCCCTTTACAGACTAACTCTGTTGTACCATCAGGATGGCAGTGGATAGAAACAGTTGGGATTTGGGCTGGATCTAGTCACACAACAGGAGAGAGACCAATAAAAACACAACAGAGACAAGAGACAAGTTAATTTCACATAGCAGTGAATGGGAACTAAAGGGTGCATTTCTGTTGACAGAACACCAACCACCACGGCACGGCCACATAGTAGAAAGAAAGAAATGGCAGGTAAAAAAACGGTTTATTGTTTCCTGCCCTACCCTGTAAACCATTCTTGGGTTATAGTCTGTTAATAAGAATTTGTTGAGAACATATGATACTAAAATTTGCACTGTGTTGGCTTGGTGGATCAGAATCCTCTTGAAAGTCATTTGTTCTATAATGTGCCATCCATTTCATAAAACATTTGTATTGCTATACTTTTCTGGTAGAAGATAAATAACCACAGAAGCGACAATGAATGTATGCGCATAAAAAGAATAATTTACTCAGAAAGAATGATTCCCAGGTCTTTTTAATTTTCCTGCATGAATGTATCCTTCAGTTTGGCTTATTACAAATGTTTTGGGTTTTGGGGGGTTTTTTTACATTGGGACTGTCAGCTGCAAAGTATGGGTTGGACTGAAAGGTCACATAGCACATGACTTTTCTCTCATTGCATTAGTGCAGTTCATACTTAAGTCCTTTATGCAACTATTCATGTAAACAAGCTCAAAAATCATCCTCTTTGAATACTGTCTAGTATTCATCTAACATTCATTGTGTCTATGAACAGTCCTGCCAGGAATCTCTTTCCCCAAAATATTCTGTCAAGCAAATGTGTAAGGGGTAAAAACACTTAAAGTAAATTTGCTGAAGCACAGGGAAAAGCAGGTATTTGCCTAGTTCAAATCTAAACCCCTGATCCTTGAGCCAAGGAACCCTATCCTTGACCTGCCAGCAGCTGCGGTTATGCCTGTTTGCACTGACACTAAGATTCATTTGTCTTCACTGTAATCAGGTCACTTTGACATTTCTATTATAATCCCATAAACTTCATTTTCTCTTGGCAGAAAAAACTCCCTATGACTTGTGTAACTGAAAGCACAAGAAAATGAGACTCTACAGTGAATGTGGTGCAAGGGGATACAAAAGCATTCTTCAGTTCACCTATAGCACAGATATAAAGTGAGTAATCATTGGGCATGTTTACACACGCGTTTGAAAGTGTAGTAGCCTATTTTACCATGCACTAAAGCATCACATCAAAAACCATGCTAATGCGCTTAAGGCACAGTAAAAATAGGCTACTGCATGTAAGTGTCACTGAAAAAGTGTTCACTTTTCCTACTGGGTAGTAGGGCAGCCTAATGTGCATTTATTTAGTACCTCACATTAGAGGGTGTTTCTACACACGCTTTGTGTAGAAGTGGGGGGAGGGTGGAGCATTTTAATTACAGCAGCTCTGAGAGCTGCTCTAATTAAAGTGCCTCGAATGTCACGTGTATCAGCATTCCCACGCTGAAAAATAGTGATGAGGGCACTAACTAAAGCTTGTTTGCTGCTGATACATGATGCTGGAGTCTGCTGGAGCACAGTAATGACCACACTCCAGCAATCTTGATTAATTGATCCCCTCAAGGTTTTCTCATGCTGTTCATGGACTTGTACCAACTGGGGAATCTCTGCTAATCTAAAGCTGGCAGAAGGGTCTTTGCTGCCACTTGCACTGGCTGCTATTACTCCAGAGCTAGGCCACCTGGCAAACAAGAAAAGCAGAAATGGTTAGGGCAGGAAGGAGAGTGGCGGTGTGAGGGCTCTGTGTTGCCAACTTCTAACTGGCGTGATAACCCTGAGGGACCTGACATCCAAGCATAAAACCACATGCTGGGGGTGAACAGATAAGTCAGGTGGTAGCAACGGGTCCCTTTTCAAACCCCTTTGCCTTCCCCTTCGGAGAAATGGAGCGATGAGGAATAGAGAACCTGACATGGAAAGACCCACCTCACGGGGCAAGAAGGGAGGTCAGTCTCCATGGCCCACTCACTCTGTAGCTCCCACATAAGACTGCCAACAAGGGGGATGTAAGTGATAGCAGTGGCAATAGGGTTTTTTGACAACAGCCACCACCAACAGTCATGCTAAGGAAATGGACTCAAATCCCCAACTCCCTAGAAACCGTGTCCCTGCTGCTGTCTCTGAAATCAAACCACAAGGGCATCTTCTTAAGGGCATCTTCTCTACTCTAAGTAGTCTCAGCAGGCAGGGAAAACTGACAAGGCAGATGCAGAAACTCTTCCCATGAAATATGACTCCATGCCACAGAGCCAAAGATGAAAAATCTGTGCCAGCAAATTGAGGTACCCCTGAAGTTACTATGAGCCAAACTGGCCTCTGGGGAAGACAAGGGAGCAGAAGCCTCTGGTCAGGCTCAGAGGTTCCAGAACTACTGATCCCAAATGAGGATTACTTACCAAACACTTCCAGTAGGAACGTTTCATTTCTTTTTCCAAAATCAAATGTATACAGCCCCTCATCTTCCTCTGTCACATTCACCAGCTCTAGCGATCCTTCCCAGATATACACCTTCCTGCCACATTCCTCTGCAGACAGGGTATCATTGGGTTCAGTCTTCAAACAGTAAACATTGGGCCCAATTATTTTTGAGAGATCATTCAGGCCTTGACTTCGCCAAGGAAAGGTGACCGAGCTGCCTCTGACACCGGTGACAGGTATGTTAGTCCCATTGTAGCCTGCAATAACAATAGTAAAACAGTCACTAATTCTGTTATGTATCCCGCTGAGAGAATGCCTCACCAGAGGCAGCTGAAAGTGCTGGAGCCCTTGGAAATCAAAGTGCTAGGTGCACTTGAAACATAGGAACAGAAGAGGAAGAGAAGAGGTTAAACCTTATGCAAAGACTAGCTCTGCAATCCTGCTAAGATCAAGGTGGGGGACACACCTTAAACCAGCACTTCAGAGACAAAATCTGATCAATGCTTCTTTCTCTACTTCCAAGTTCCCATGACCAACTGCTTCCTCTCCTTATTGTTGGAAGACCCATGCTGTAAGCAGGGAGTCAGATGCTCAAAAAGATAGCTGGCATCTAGTTCAGTAATGCCATGATTTATAGTGCAATTGCCGCTGACAGCCATTTCCTCTCAGCATCTCAAATGCCTTTGCAAACTTGACTCAAGTCTCACAGCATCCTACTGCATTAAGTCAAAATCCCTGTATCCCAATTACAGATGAGAAAAGGCCACGGCACAGTGGCTAAATGACTGATCCAAGGTCACACAGAGAGTTAGGAACAGAACCCCAGTGTCCCATATTCCTATCTCCGGCTCTAGCAAGTCTGCTGAGTACAATGATCGCTAACCTCTCTTGTTTCAACAGCTCTCACCCTTGCCGTATATCAAGACTCTATATAGTTAGCTACAATCAGTTTATGTCTGACTGCCCCTTTTCATGCATTAGTGACTCCAAATCCTGAGATTTCCCAAAACGCTTAAAAGATACCCCAGCAAAACAAAGGTGTCTGCTCACCTAAGTGAATCAGTGCCGATTTCATAAAGAAAACCCTACTTACCATCAATAATGGTTATCATCACCAGCATGCAGTGCAGGGTTAACGAAGATTTGAAATCCATTTTAAAAAGCTTCTTGCATCCCATGCTGAGAAGAGGATCTAACTACACTGTCAAATGAATATATTGCTCAGGAAATGATGTCAGAAGCAAGGGGGGGAAAAAAAAGAACATTCTGACCAGATTGAATAATGTATCAAAATAGACCTGCAAGGTCTTGGGTGGCTGAACTCATGCTGTAGCAACACGAGCCACAATCGGTTTGCAAGGGGAGGTAGCTGGGATCTGGGTGGGTGACCAACTCTCTCAGCCAGTTATCTGGGCTTAGGAAGATGCCAATGCTAAGTCTAATCATGAGCAAAGGAGGAAGGTGCCCAACCTCCAAATCCTTTCCCAGTCTTTATTGGTTCAAAGAGCAGCACAAAAAAGAGTGGGCATTGTCAAAGGAAGTAGCATATACAAACGCAAGCTGTTTTTTAGCACCAAAAAGTGCCACTTAAGCCCATGTACAACCCTCAGTGGAGACTAAAGGTTACAAGAAGTTATGCTGCGTTGGAAAGGAGACCCACCAATGGTCAATTAGCATCTTTTATCATTGTAAAATATTCACAAGCAGATCAGTCTAGTCTCGCACATCTTGGAGAAGGACAGTACGGGATCTAATTCTCCCTTTTTAGGATGCAGCCAGTTGAGTTGCATAGAGATGCTTATTCCATGACTGCAGCAGCACCTGGAAAGCCATATTCTTACAGTATTGAATTACTTCATACAAAGTACATACATCTCATTTGCCAAGGTCAGAGTAATTTTAAGAAAGCTTTGCAGAGTAGAACAGAGTATTTGTGTTTCTGTGTGACATTCCAAAATAGCCATTTAAATGTAGTCAGACAGACCAATACAAGTCAGCAAGCTGGCCCAAGCTGATTTGGTCCCCCAGATCTCTTAGCAATGTCAAACAGCTCTCGCTATCCAAAATCTGCAAATTTGTTCACAGCCACAGAAGCCCCATCCTGTCTTCATCATGTGTGCACAGAACAGACTCAAATTGATCTAAGAGGTGACAGAAATAGCCCTTGGTGAGAAGATCAGTGATGTGAGTCTTCAGATAGCTGCAGGGGTGGGGAGAGGGGGAAAAAGGCATTTACAGTAAAATAGCATGCTTTCATTTCCTGCAGCACAGCTAAAATTAATGGAGGAAAACAACAGTTTGAGACAACTGCAAGCTTGGGGCTAAATACCCTTCTTGGATATGCATTTCAGCCCCATGGTTGCTCTTACTCTTTAAGGCCACCTCCCTGGCTCCTTAACTGGTTGCATTCTTTTGTGCTATGCTAGAGGCAAGAGAGAGGGAGGGCAGGGGGATGCAGCTCTGTGCTGCTTCAGTGAAAAAGGGAATAATGAAAAGACACAAATCTTAGAGAACCACCACCAGGCAAAAAGCTTCATGCACTGGGAAGTGAGGGGAAGAATCATGCAATTCAGAGCTACAGTCTCCTTTCCATTGCACCATAGCACCCTCAGTGAGGCCATTTGCACAATTACAGTGTAAATGAGAGAAGAACTTGGCACTCTGATTGCAGCTCTCCTGTTAGAAAAGTGACTCTGAGACTGTGACATTGCGGTGTCCTGTCTTCACTCTTTCTCAGTGACTCCACAGCAAATGAGCTCATTTTATGTGTTCAAGGGATGATATTTCTGACTCCTGGTGCCTCATACATCACCCAGTATCCATCTGGGCTCTTTCTGCCTCTTGAATCTTCATAGGCAGTAAGCAACTGCAGTACAAAATTGCAGTTAGACTCACAGCAGCCCTTGGAAAATACCAGCTATTGGCTTTCACTAATTTCTTAACTATGAAAAAAATAATAGAGCGATTCTTCTGTTGCAAAGAACTCAGAAAAACAACAACAGATCAGAATGCTTTCGACACTGTGAAATCTCCGGGTTTATCTTGTATATTATCTGCAGGTGTTTACATATCTAACAGTGCTATTACTGTGTGACACCCTGTAGTACCCTAAAAAGGATCTCATATCATCCAGGTTGAGAATCAATGTATCCAACATTAACTAATGCATCTCTGCAATCACTCAGACACCCAGAGAAATCACTTCCCCTTTTAGTGTAAAGCTGTTGAAAGCTTGCTAGAGACACTTCCAAAAAAACACTTTCTTTGGGGTTTCAGATCATTAGCAGAAGCTATGAGTGAATGTAAAAATGAAACAGGCATGTGTTTTGAAGGTGAACTTAAACACTTTTACCTGAGAAAACATAAGTGGCATGTTCCATCTTCTCCTGCAGCAGCTGAGAGCATCACTAACTACACTAGCAGAGAAAGGAGTGCTGTGACTTAGGCTACCTTAGGAGTTAATAGAGTAAGAGAAAGATAGAGGCCTGCATTCAGATCTGAGCAGGTCAGTAAAGTAACAAATAAGTTTCAGATATTTGGAGGTGTTTATGTGAACACACTGCCTCTGCATGGGTATTCTCTTCAGTGAGTTGGGACCTTAAGCACGATTATGACTGTTGAATTTCAGCA